GCATTCCTGTTTTCTTGTTTGGTTTACACTGGTGAAGTGGCATTGCTTGGTTGTAGGCTCTGCAAAAGGACTCCACAGTTTTGACACAGTTTCTGTAAGCCAGGTGGCCACAGTGGCTCCGTTCACTGCCTTACTGGTAGACAAGCTGCAAGGCCACTGGCTGAGTAGGAATGGAGGATACTGCATATGCCCTGAGGCAAAGTCATTACATGAGCTAGAGTGGCTCTTTACTGTTAGCACTGGTCTGGTGCTGGTCATGGTTGATGCACATTGTGGGAGGACGTTGCAGGGAAATATTACTGCCCGTGCATTCCTGGCTCTGCAGGGAGATGTTGCAGTCCACCTTCCCTTTCCCATCTTCCCCAACACTTCCCTCCCTCTCCCAGGCTGTCGGTCTGGCACCTTTCTCTAGTCCTACCTTTTACAGTGGGAAAAGAGCAAAATGTTCAAATGATTAAATAACTTCATCATTTGATATCTGATTGCCTTGAAATTTCCCATCTCCAGCCCCTGGGAGAAAAACTGAAGGGAGCTATTGAAAATGGTAACTATTTTTTAAATGAGTTTTAACACCATTAAATTAGTTTGACATTTTGAATTAGGACGTGAAGGTTCAGTAGATGTTATTGCATTTTTCCCTCCCTTCCTGACAGCAGCCTTGCACAGGGTGCCTTCACCGTGGCAATAACGCACCATGATATTTGCCTCAGCTGAAGTATCTTCCTCTCCGAGCACACACAACACATCTTGTTACATCTGCCTGCAAATACTTTGCTGTGTGCTATGATGGATCCTTCCCTAAAGTCTTTCCTCTTTTTACCCTAAATCTGTGGAATAAAAGGCCTACTCAACAACCTTTTTCTAGAACTGTTACTCCCCCCTGCTCCCGGCTTCTGATAAAATACTGACTTTTGCCGGGAATCTCTTGGTGTTAACAAGCTATCTTTGCTCCAATCAGAAACATCTTCAGACATTGTAAGGCTGCAGACATTGCAATGCTTTTTTTGGTGCAGGCTGGATGTGGTTTACAAATCCATAAACCTTCATCTGGAGCCATTGCTAAGGCAGCAGCTTACTTAAGTTCTTTAGTCGAGGCTATGCATCATCCTGCA